ACGATAATAATAATAAGAGGAATAATAATAATAATAATAATAATATTAATAATAGTCATAACAATAATAGTGATAATAATAAAATAATAATAATAATAATAGATTAAAAAGATAGGGACGTCTTTTTCCTCAAGAAAGTACATGCAATGCTACTCATAAGTTGCTCCTACCATGTATAGTCGATGTAGCGAATATTTTCCTACAGGGTCCATTTCATGACGAAAGTGAAGGCAAACTTTGACAATGGTGTGTGTCTTACGACAAATAAATCTAATCTCAGGGGGTGAGTGTGTGTGTGTGTGTGTGTGTGTGTGTGTGAGTGTGAGTGTGTGTGTGTGTGAGTGTGTGTGTGAGTGTGTGTGTGTGTGTGTGTGTGTGTGTGTGTGTGTGTGTGTGTTAGTGTGTGTGTGTGTGTGTGTGTGTGTGTGTGTGTATGTGTGTGTGTGTTTTGGAAGGGCGAGGGGCATAATAATGATATGATGTCTTATGCTTGCAACAGGAATAGACTGTATGAAATATAGGTCATAGGACCTCGTTCCACTCTCCTTAAATTACTCAACAGACATATATATGTAATATGTTAAAGAAAACCTACCTTCGTAATAAAAAATCCGTTTCATATTGCATAGGCCTCCCTGTGTAGGAAAGAACAGAATAATAATAATAATAATAGATAGCATTTGTATAGCGCATATCCCCGCTCAACAGCACGCTCTATGCGCTTTACACTATATTATTACCCCAGCAGACCATAGAACACTCCGAAACATTCTCAGCTTCCCGGGAAGCATACAGTGCGAGCAGCCGATTAAGCGCTCAAACACTAACAAACTGACAAGATCTTTCGCTGTCTATAGCCGGGTACCCATTCCCACCTGGGTGAAGTGAGGAAAATTCGTGTAAAGTGCCTTTCCCAAGGACACAACGTCGGGCCCCTGACGGGATTCGAACCCACGACCTTACGGTTGCGAATCCGAGAGCCTAACCACTAGGCCACCGACGCCACAAATAAGGCAATGGATGATAAAAACTGATGGGTGAACGTGACTGAAACAGGATACCATACTAAATGAACCATAGACTTGCTTCTACTTCACCTCCTCTGGTCCCCTCAAAAATAAAAAAAAAGATAAACGGTTTCTCCTCTGCCCCCCCCCCCCCTCCTCCTTTCCTGCTTCTACAGTTGTTGCTGACTCCCCCCACCCTCACTCCTCTTCTTGTTCCTCCTCCTCCTTCTCCCCCCTTCACTACAACCACCACCACCACCACCTCCCCCTTCTCCTTCTTCTCCTCTTTTTCTTACTCCTCAATAGCAACATCACCAAAACTGCAACTGCAACAGCAACAACACTAACAGCAACATGTAAAATAAAGAGCATGTGCAGTCATAATTCGTACAGGTATAGTAATAATATATCTGTTCTTTAACTCTTTCCCTACCAGAACATTTTCGCAATGTGACAATGCAATTTTTGCGTTTTTTTCCACATTACTGTCCGTAATCAGGAAAAAGACATTGTCAGGGAAAATAGTTTTCACTCAGGGAGTATAAAGAAAAATATAATCTGGTCATAAAACGGTAGTTTGTGTTTTTCTTCAGACAAGATTGTTTCCATTATGAACAATGAAGTAACCGAAAAACAGAATGCGGCTCATGGTATGCAATGAGTTAAATTTAATACCAGAGTCTGTGGTGTAACTGTTTGGCGCTTCGCCGTCGCACACAGAAGACCCAAGATCGATTCTTGTATGGGACGAATTTTTATCGAGTATCTCGGTTTTTCTACTGGGATGTGGTATTCCTCTCAGCCCTGGCTGCCCTCACTGATACGATCGAAGCCCGCCTTCTAAATTTTGATGATTTATATGTGTCGATAGGGGTGTAAAAACTACATTAAAAACAACCAATCAACATTAACAATAACAACCACCACCACCACCACCACCACAAAAACAACTAAGCAGCAGCAGCAACAACAACAACAAAAACAACAATATAACACCACCAACACCACTACTACTACCACCATCACTACCAC